CATATATAGTTAGTGAAATCGATTCTTGCAATCCCTCTAGCGCTCAGCAGAGCAGCGATGAAGGTAGTGTGCCCAAAAATTTCGCGCTCCTGTTATTCAGCTTTTCGGAGCTTCGGAGATGCTGAAGCCATATCTCGGCTTTTCAGCGCGTAAAAATTGCAAAAATGAGCTTTTTCAAAGCTCTCCGTGTCATCGGCCGCCCGAATGCATGTAAAAAGTGGGCGGGGTCCGAAAGACTTCCGGAGTGGATTTTGGCCTTTCTAGAAGGGCTTTTTCGCTGGAAACTCTACTGATAGATTACTTGGGGGGTCCGCCATCACAAGGTTGTCAAATTCGAGAAGTCACCAGTTTGGGACGCTGCTTTCAAATATGGGCATATTAGGCAAGAGGTATCCATTGCCTAAAGCAGTTCTGGACCATTCTTTTTCGGTCGCGGATTCTCCTTTCAACCAACGTTCAGAGGCGCTCGGCGAGTATTGAAAGCAAGTTCATAATCCGCGTTCGAAGCTCTATAGAATGGCTTAAACTTTATTTGGAAATGCCACTTCGTTCAAAAACACCTTTGTATCTGCAATTTCAAATGCGTTTCCTGCAACATACTAGAATTTGCAGTAGTCAAATCCTTCCATTTCCCGTATACCCTGTATTGTGTGTCTCTGCCAATATCCTTTGCTTCTTCTGCAGTTGTTCGCTATTTTTTGTTCTTTTCAGGCCTACAGACTTACTTTGCAAGAAAACAGTGAGGAGTCCCCATTAGCTCTTGAACGAATGCGACGTCGTCTTGAAGGCTTTGCCATGGAAGCGTATGAAGGAGAAGAAGATTCCGATGACGATGTTAGCGTACATGGTGAGATTTCGGCTCCTAGCAATGATGAAGATGACAACTATGACGAGAGATATCGTGAAGATTAATATTTCGACTTTACTTCTTGCCACGCTACCAATCGTTTTACCGGTGTTTTAGATGATCTTGCTTGACCAATTGTTCTTCTGCCATGTATAACATGGTCACCTTTGTACAGATTTCAAGTCAATATTGTGCTCACATTGAAATAACTGCTTTTCAGAAATGAATATCTCTTTCAAG